CGTCCCGCGAGCAACTTCCACGGGCGCCGTGCGCTTGGCCGCGCTGCCGCCGCGGCTCCTGACCCTCCGGGGTTGGGGGGCCCTCGCGACCCGCACTTTTGAACAATCTCTGGGTCCGAGCCTGCTGTTGTCCGTATCTCAGGTTCTTTACCAACTGCATCCAGGTGACGGCTGCCCCCGCCCCCAAGCTTTGTCCAGGTGCATGGGATGCGAATCATCTCGTCTATACCCACGTTTTGAGTGTGTGCTGGAGGAGGGAGGGGTGAAGATGGAGTGATGGTGACTTTCTTTGATGATTGATTACGGATCAGCTGCTGTCTATTTTCTGTCTTGAATGTTTCTGGGTCTTCACCTTAATGAGAACCCAGTTCTATTCTCTCCGCTGTGGACAAAGGAACTAACAGACGGTGTTTTGTTGTCCTTTAGCTTTCGAAGATTTTTCTTCTGGACCGGTAAAGGGTAAAGAGAAATGGAACAGAGTGGTCTGGGGTGCAGGATTTTCCTGTATTTTGTAGGCAAAGCTGGAAATGTCGAAGTTTCTGTTCTCTTTGTGGTGGTTGTTACTGTATAATTAGACTTTGACAGGTAGTTACCATTGCTAACGTTAACAGGTTTGAAACATTTAAAGTTAGTTAAAGTAAGCACAGTAATTATTTGTTTCCAGTAGGATCCTTGAGGTTTTTAAATTTTAATATTGCAAATATTTGAGCACCTCCTTTTAAAAATACAAAGTAACTGGAAAGGGGGAATTCGTTTTTAATATTTACTTTTTAGAGGAACTAGTTGATTTAATTTGAGTTGAAATGCTAATTAAATAATTGAGCTAGGTCAAGGGGTATGTGAAATTAATGTTTTAAATAGATTGTAGCGTTCGACTCCTCATTTAATTATATGTTAGGAACAGTATCTGGTTGAGGGAGACAATTTTCCATGGGTCTCTCTCTATTTCTGCTGGTCCTGCCTGCAGACTGGCTGCCCTTTGTTTCTATTTTTAAAGGATGTTTGTATAAGGAACAGCCTTAGAAGATAGTGTCTTCCATCAAAGCAGAGTGCAGGCATGCATATGGTCTATTACAATAAAGATAAATGTATCCTTCTGGAGTAAAAGGCAGGCATGCTTACTGCTCATCATAAAGATTATGGTTCCCCAAGCATAGGTTCTTCTCATGTAACACAACCCATAGCCTGTGCTGGTGTCAACTGGCCCTCTTCACTTTGCTTGGTGGGAACTGGGACTCTGGGAACCAGTGCAGAATGTTGGTGCTTTGGCTTATGTAATTATTGTAAGTAATAAACTGCCCTTTGTCTGTGACCCCTGAGTCTCATGTCTTCTATCAGCATCCACGGTAAGCTACTTTGTTAGCTTGTAAGTAAGGTAAAATCTCAGATTCTTCACACTAGTTTGCTCAGATGTGGCCCACCTGTTGGAAAGTTAGTACAGGTGAAACTTAAATCTTGGTTCTTAATTTCTTTAAGACACATCTTAAGGTTTCTTTTACTTATTTTTTAAATGGTTAAACAGGCCAGTAGCCAATTAGGATCTGAATTTTGCATAATTCTAGGATTAAGATGTATTGTGTGCTTGGCCATGACATTCAGACCTGAATGAATGAGAACCTGGGTAATAAAAGTGCCGAATCTCAATTCTGAGAAAATGTCTGATTTCGTATTTCTCAAAATGTTCTGTGTCATTCCAGTGTCCAAGTATTTTTTATCTTTGTTGTTTGTATTGTATGCAGGAGTTCAAGGAAAGCATTTAAATTGGAAGATAAATGCTTTTGTTGTTATACTAAGGAAAGGCTTTAACAAATGATACTTTAGAGGTGTGTACCTCTAAAAAAAAAGTTAGGGTTTCTTCAATAAATTAAAAATATTAACCTGAATCTTATTGGCTTGAATGTTTTCTTTTTCTCTCCTTGCAAACTTATTTTAATACTAGCTGAAGCAAAAGTTTAGGCAATATATTTTAGAACTAAATAAATAGGGTTCATTTGATTATCTGTTCTTCATTCTCTTAATGAACTTGTGGGTATAGGACAGGCATCATGGATCAAACATTACCTGCAGGAGCTAAGCAGGTAATTGAGATGGAGAATTATGAGCCTGGTGTTAAAATAAGAGGGAATGGTGGGCAGTGGGGGGTGGCAAGTTCTACTTAGCTCCAGCAGATTGTCATGTGAGAGTTGCAGGGCCAGTGTTGAAGGATCTTTTTTCTCTTTAACGAGAAGTCTTAAGTCTGGATTTTGTGTAAAATTTCTCTGTATTATATATTGGCAGATAATTAAGAAAAAAACACATCCACATAGTCCCATTCTGTAAGCCACATAACATGTTCTACTTAAACTCTTAACTTTTAGGTTTAGATACGGGTTTTCACATTTTAGCTGTACTAGAATCACCTGGTATACTTGTTAAAATTTGGATTTCTAGGCCCCTCTCTCTGGAGAGCCCAATTTGGCATAGTTTTAGAATTCTAGAGTATAATATGAAACCCTGGTGTTTCCTTCGGTCAAAATACAGTTGATCATAAGAGGATTCTGTAGAAAATTAAGACCAAAATTTAGGTGTAGAGTTGTAATTCTCAACACTACCAGACTTACTTTCCTTTTCTGTTAAATATTTTGGTGCTCCCTATGTTATCCTAAATGAGATTTATAGAAAATAAGTTCTTCCTAACACATTTTTGAAAATCAAAATCAACATAATATTTCAACCTTTTAAAAAGAAATAAAGCTAACTTATAATAAAAAAAATATTATAATTTACAAATGCTTAGAAATGTTTGAAAGGGACCACATTATTTGTCCAGGGAGTGTGAAGTATAAGAATCCACCGGTTTTCTTAGACTACTAACTGGCAGTCTGTAAGAGGTGTAACTCTCAATTCTAAGAGCTGATTTCTTTTGGTTCTTGGCAAAAAGTATAAGTCATTTTGAGTACAAAGTATGAGAAAGGATTAATAGTATTTAAGGTTGATTTACATTGTATATCAGTTTTATACACAAAAGTTCTCTATACAATATTCACCTGTTGGTGAAAATTACTATTGTTTACAGTTTGGGGCTATGAATAAAATTTTGATAAATATTTGTAGACAGGTCTTTATGTGGATATGTTTTCATTTCCTTGGGCAGATACTTAGAATTGGAATTTCTTGTTTGCATCCTAAGTGTATGTTTACTCTGGTTGTGCATTCCTTCCAGCAGTGTGTGCAAGTTCAGTTGGTTCACATCCTCGCCAATTTGGGTGTTATTCTTTTTTCTTTTTTTTCTTTTTTTTGATATATCTTTATTGATTTCGGGGGGGGGGANTTGGGTGTTATTCTTTTTTCTTTTTTTTCTTTTTTTTGATATATCTTTATTGATTTCAGAGAGGGGGGGGAGATAGAAACATCAATGAGAGTCATTAATTGGCTGCCTCCTGCAGGCCCCTGCACGCCCCCTGCTGGGGATCGAGCCCGCAGCCCCAGCCTGTGCCCTGACCGGGAATGGAACCTTGACCTCCTGGATCCTAGGTGGATGCTCCACCGCTGAGCCGCGCGGGCGTGCGGCGCTGGATGGCGTTATTCTTCAGTTTTAGCTTTCTAGTGTGGGTGACGGAGTATATCATGGTTTTAATTTTTATTTCCCTGAAGAACAATGATGAGCATCTTTTCCTGTGCTTATTGGCCATTTGTATATTTCTTTTGATAAAATTTAAGATTAAGTCTTTTGTAGATTTTAAAAATTAGGTAGTTTGTCTTACTGAAAAGTAAAAATTCTTTATTATGCGTCTTGGTCCTATTAGGTACATGTATTGCACGTATTTTTCTCCCACTCCTTTAGCGTTCCTGTTCATTTTTTTAAATGGTGTCTTTTGAAGAGCTGAAGTTAAATTTCGATCGTCTGGTTTATCAGGTTTTTCTATGGTTAGTGATTTTTGTGTTCTAACATTTATGTGCCTACCCCAAGCTTACAAAGATTTTCTCCCATTTTTTTTCTTTCAGTATTTTTTAATTAAGCTTTTATACTTATATCTATAATCTATTAGAGAGAATTTTTGTGTGAGGTATAGTGTTGAGGTTCATGTTTTTAACCGTATGTTATAGCACCACTTATTGAAAAGAGTTCTTTCATTACATTACTTTGGCATTTTTGTGAAAAGTCAATTGAACAAATATGTATGGTTCTGTTTTTGTACTCTGTTCTTTACTGTTGATCTGTCCATTCAGTACTGTCTATATGTACATTACTCGAGTGTTTGAAGGAAAATTTGAAGTTGGACAATTTTGTTCTTTTTCAAAATTGTTTTGGCTCTTTGAGGTCATTTGTATTTCTTTACAAGTTTTAGAATCAGCTTGTTAGTTTCTACACAAAAGCCTATAATTTTGATTGAAATTGCCTTGAATTCTGGATACCAGTTTGGAGAGGATGATCTTAACAATGTTGACTGTTCTTATCCATGAACATATTTTTTCTCCTATTTATTTAGGTCATTAATTTCTCTCAGCACTCTTTAATTTTAGTGGTATTGCACAATTTTTGAGAAGTTTATTCTAAAATATTTTATGATAACGTTGTTTAATGATATTGTAAATGGTGTTTATAATTTTGTTCCCAGTTGTTGCTAGCATATTGAAATACAATTGACTTTTGTATATTGATTGTATCCCTTTATCTTGCTGAATTTAATGATTAAATCTAGTAGTTTTTTTTTAAGACTGTTATGTTCCCTACAGATAGTTATCCTTTTTTCTTGCCATTCTTTGTAATTGTCATTTTCTTCCATTAATTGTACTAGCTAGAACCTCCAGGACAGTGTTGAATAGAAATTTAATTTCAGTATTAAATGGGAGATGATGTTATTGCCTATTCCTGATCTTAGGAGAACATTCAGTTGTTCACTGTTAATATTTTAGTTCTGTTAGTTTTTTTTTTTTATGGATGCCCATTATCAAAATTAAGAAGTTTCCTTCTATTTATTCCTAGTGTGCTGAGGGTTTTTTTAATGAATGTATGATGAATTTGGTCAAATGAATTTTCTTTTTTTCATTCTAACTTATCTTTATTGTTGAAAGTATTTCAGATGTCTCCTTTTTTCCCTATTGACTCTCTCCTCACCCCCCTACTCCTCTCCCTTCCTCCCCAGGCCTTCACACACTATTGTCTGTGTCCATGAGACATGCACAGACCAAATGCATTTTCTGTATAGTATCTGTTAGAATGACTGTTTGGTTTTTCTTTTTCTTTTCCGTATTAATATTATG